AGATTTAGCTGGCAAATATGGCAAAGAAAAAAAGAAGACAAAAGTGATTTGGTGAATCAATAATGTGGCTCTGTGTTCTATTGGAGGGACAATTTCCATATATTGAATGTGCCCTAGCAGACATTGTAAGGGCATTATAAGTTCTAAGTTTATTCATTATTAAACAAAAAAAAAGAAGTTCATTCATTATTAATAACTTTTTATTGTATAATTGAATCCTTAAATTATTGGCACAATCCCGGAAAAAAAATGAACGAATCATCGTTACATTTTCAAGTTAACGCACGATTTTTGTCTTTTGCCCACTCAGACTGTCATACACTTAACTATAGAATATTTTCATCCAATTAATAATTGTATACTTAAGAACGTTGTTTGCTTGGTGAAACGTGTAACATTGATTAAAATGTTGTATAGTATGATAAAATTCAACGATGAGTTTATGCGTAATGTGTTATTTAACACAATATACAGTAAAAAAAATGTATTCACATTTAATCCATATTATATTACCTAAATATTTACCTTTTTGTATAAAGTTGTCCATCAATCTTTTTTTATTATTGTTCTTTCACAGGAATGGTAATTGACGACAAGAAAACCAGAAGAATAATCATATGAGAGAACCTATTACCCGATATTATGAGAAGGAAAGTTATAGCTAGAAACCTAGAAGCCTAGCTTTTTCCAAAAATATGCGACAACAATTTGGTCTTCTTATAAATGTGCTGGAAATTAAAAAAAAAAAGTGAAAGATAAAGGATCGAACTCGATTATTGTTAGAATCTCAACCACTCGTGTTCTTCTTTTTTTGTCATGATCTAATGCATTTGTCTTAACTATAGTGGAAAAATTTGTAGCTCTCCAGTCAGAAAATACCCTATTAATTAAAGTTCCTTATTAGTATAACTGATGTTATCTATATCATTGTGGATATAAACAGACAAAACAAAAGTTCGCAAGGAGCTTACTACATGAAAACATTAAGTCTATGTGATCCAGGATGATGTTTGGATCCAACAGAATTTGAATTTATGGTTTTCTTTTAAGTCTGTCGTTATGTTTAGCTAAATACAATGTAAAAGACAAGAGTAATAGAGTTTAGGTTCTCTCATTGTACATATCATCATATTGCATATGTCTTATAAACATAGTCATACAAAGAGTTAGTTAGGAGAGACTCATAAGTTAATTCACACTTGCATATAAGGATAATGTATTCCATACTTAACAATATATATAATGAATATTTTTTTTTTGAGAAATTATAATAGATTCTGATATCTCATATCTTCTAATATAAGATAATTAAACAAAAGGTCTCATTTTGATAATGTTTTTCTTCTGTTTTTTCTTTCATACCTCTATATGGACATAGTGTTAGTGTGTTACTCGATAACATAGTTTCCATTTTTTACTCCCCTTTTTAATTCGATATATACCACTGATTTGAATCTAGATCATCATAACAAAGCAGGATGGTTTTAATACAAAGTTACAAACCATTAGATCACAAGACCAATCTAAAACAAATTGGATATATATACGAGCAAAAAGGAAAATGATCTCATCTATATATTAATAATTCCCAAAACACGTGAAGTTATATCGCAGCTGTATATAAAACTAGGGATTGTTCACGCGTTACGTGAATTTAAAAATAAATATTGTATAATATGCAATAATCTCTAGCTTATTGACAAATTGTGTATTTAATATTACATAAATTTGATGTTTATAGTAAATAATTATCTATATTAGAAGATTAAACATTTATAGCAAATTATTGGATATATACAATGTTATATGAAAAAAGAAATAGTCCTTTCATAAAACTACAATTTCATAAAACTACAACATATAAAAGACATCTTCTTTGGCACAAATCTATAACTTGTATGTCTTCATCAATATTCACTATGATTCCCTAAAAAAATGATTTATTATCTTTTTCTTGCATCAAACACATTTATAAAAAAAAATTATTGATTAGAGAAGTTGTAATATGATTTTGATTTACCTTGACATATGCATCATCTCAACAAAGATGTTGGAATGTATCTTTGTGTTTATTTCAATGGAACTTTGAATCGTATTGAGAGAATAATTGATACTTTATTGTATTTTTGTCTTATTCTCTTTATCGTTTTGCTATGATTTTTTTTATCATTAACATCGATTCATTGGTGAAGTGATTCTGTTTTTCTAGATTCACAATTTGTGGTGGATTAAGGTTTTTTCAAGAGTCTTGGATAGAAGTGTTATGTCCACTACAAATTGTATTAATTTCATTAATAGATAATTAGGAAATTGGCTTTAGAAGGTGTGAAGATTAAAAAAAATTATTTATGAATATCTCCAATCAGATTTTAACAATCTTAAAATTATATCTTAATTTTGTTCACAGTATTTTTTTTTGTGTTTGTTCATGTTAGGCATTTTTTTATCGAAACTTCTCTTTGTGACTTTTTAGAAAACAAAAACACAATTACCTATCTAAAAATAAAGAAATTTTTTTTAAAATGCCACTTTACAAAAATGCCACACTTTTGAAATTTTTACAAAATGCCACTTTTTCAAAA